TTCCAAGTTATGATCAACTAAAAACTGTTACAGACTCCTGGGTCCAAATATTTTCCCTGACTGGTCTTTTGTTGTTTAAATGGTGTCAAAATTACAATTTCCATTCGTAAGAATAAAGCTGACATCAGTTGTTAAGATAGTTTCCCATTCAGCAAGTCTTAAAGATCTTAACAGATGTAGGAAAGGCACAGTATCAGCAAACTTGGTTAGTTCTTGAAATGGCTTAAATCACACTCACCACAACTGTTTATGTGTTTGTTTGTCTTTGTAGTGTTCCTGCATAAATGCTGTGCTTTAAAAGTGCAACTTTAAACAGTGCTTTTCATAATTTTCTATTCAGCTTTGCCAGATAACATTATCATATTGGCCAAAACATGGCAAAGAAAATAATTAATTTATTCAGTGTAAATAAATGAATTATCATACATGTTTTTTTCAGTGTAGAGAGTGCTAGCAAAAGGCTGGAGTTTAAACAAGAGTTTGCAAGTCTAAGGTACATCTTTAAGAACGACTCATTACTTTGACAAAACTAAGTTTTAGCTGCACAGTCAACACTGGTTATATGTTTTCATCTTGTAGTCAAATGGATGTTGTCTGTTTTTGCTGTAAAACCATTATCAGGTGCAAGCTGCAAGCTTAATGAATACGAAGTCAACTGTTGCAATAGTTGTTTTTTTTTTTGGAGTAACTTCAATACACCTGTTGAATACCAGCCAATCTACTGGTTGCATATATCTATATATAGATATTTAAATAAATCATACTTGGGTGTGAATGTGTATATTTTCTTTCACATGACACTTTATTTATTGACAAAGTAAACGTGTTAATTTTTGCATCAGGTGCACTATGTCATATTGTGGTTACTGTGTACATGTTGATGAAAAATGCAATCTTTAGGTGTAGCGTTCAAGTTTATGCTACAATTTGTATGGACTTAGGGGTGTGTAGACCTGGATTTTCTAATTCTGTCTTGACAGCTTCATCTCACAGTTTCCATAACTTAGTATTGCTGTTACAGTTGTGCAGTCAGTTGATGCATTGGTTTGAGGGGTTTAGATGTGGCCTGAGGGCATGGCCTGGATGTGTGGTGATTTATCATTAGACCTGAGTTGGGTTTCCATCACAGTAAATTTCCCCAGTGACTAGGAACTTTTTGGAGGAACTCTGTCGGCACCGCCACTGGGACTAAGGTTTTAGTTGAGTTCCAGGAAAATTATTTTATCCATCAAAACATACTTTCTGAAAGTTCAGGAGCTTTTTGGATGGGCCTTGCAGCGCTGATCATTTTGGTTGGTTGAGTACTCGCAGCATTTTCTCCTACATCTTAAGGTCAAGCACTGCAATAGCTTGTAAAATCTGTTACCTAAAGTTTAGAAGTTCTTGTGTTTTGAATCCGCTTTACTTCTGCTTCTCATCTCTGTTCCTGCGTTGACTCAGTGATCTCATTTGCAAAGCACATTTTGAATCTCCATGCTTATTGTTGTTGCAGTTTCACCTGCGCCTCACCTTTATATGGCTGTAAAAATAGTGGTGAGACCACCGTGACCACACTGTTGTGCCTATTCCTTCTCTGCTCTTTGTGGAGCTGGATTGCATTTTATTCTTAAGGTTGTAATGGTCAGCTGTTTTGCAGATTTCAAGCTGGTGAGCTAGTATCCCTCTATGTTAAGTACGAAAGTGGCTGTTTTAGGCATTGTTAAGTGATAACTTAGTTTGGATTATCTGTTGACTTGACTACGCATATAGCTTATGCACAAAGTAGTGGTGACTTAGCTAGCTAGTGTGAATTTAGAAATGTTTACAGTTTCAACACATCATATTTTAAACAGAATTTATTGTATGTATTGAATTCCTAAGACCTATTCATGTCTTTTAGAAGTTAATGTCATTTTTTAACCACTATGACTTACCGAAGCTGAAGCCATGTTGTGTAGACTTTGTAAACGTAAACAACAGGTTGTCTAATAATTATTGCCAAAGCTGAATAGCCTCCTTGTTGTTGTATACTCCTCTGCATTACTGCTACCTACTGGACTGGAGTGAAGCAATTTGTTGTATAATTGTGGGCAAAAATGACGTGTGAAAACAGCTGTTGCTTAATCAGTGGTCAGCGAACTAATTTGCCTAATCTTTGTGTGCCCATGATGGAAATGCAGATAATCAGTCGTCTGACATTTTGGGACAAAAAGGTGTGGGTACTTTGGGTTGAAACATGGCTAAAGATGGTCTGGCTTTAAAGTAAGGAAGTACACCACTAGGTAGTATTGTAGAGATTGGAGTTGTAGGACTGGATTATGTGCTGGAGGCATTGTCGATAGAAAATTCAGCAAATCTGTTTATAGTTTTGTTACAACTGTGCTATGGCCTTGACGTGTGGGCTTTAAAGGACTAAATCATGGTGCTGAGGTATGGAAGTGTAGGATTTGACCGTGAACCAACAGGACTATGGTCTAGAAATATAGGAAAGTCGGAGTACTCCATATTCTGTAGGGACAGAGGGGTAGGACTGGACCATACCTTTGAGGTATGGAGTTACAGGATTTGACCACAGTCTAGAAAAGTACAACTGTAGGACTACACTATTTCCATGAACATGTGGGGAAGTGGCTGATGGTTTGGGTTCATGGCTTTGTTGGACCATACCATATCCTAGAGGAATGGGGAAGTTTTGCTGTTGCACTAGACTTGAACTACACGTGGTTGTACTTGGCCATTCCCAGTGGCCAAAAGGTGACTGCACCGCTACTGCCCAGCGTGGTAATTATCCGCTGCTCACTCTAAGCTGGGCTTTGTTTGAACCCAAGTGGACCAGTGTCTCCTCGGTAACAGTTACCAACAGTTACGCAAGCTTGACAGCGGCAACCCTCGATGACCCACATTCCAGCAGTAAATCACAACACACACACACACACACACACACACACACACACACACACACACACACACACACACACACACACACACATTCCCGACTCCACCCTTGCCTATCGAAACTATGCTCAGTGTTTCCACTCTGTTTGACTGTGTATATACCAAACAGGGGAGGGGGATCTAAGTGGTGGAAGAGAGACAGAGAATTTTTCATATATATAAAGAATAACAACATTGCTATCAGTCTCCAGTCTTTTCTTTCTTCTTGCTCGTTTTTCTTACTTTTGCCTTGTCTCCTTATCATTTTGTCCTGTGTGCATGTATATAAGGGGGAGGCCACAAACAGACTTTACCAGTGTAGAAATAATCTATTTTCATCTAAGCCTTTGCTTCAAATCATCCTGCTCACACTCCCCAGCCTCAGCTTGACGTTGCACACAAACGCTCGATCTGTCACTTTAGAAAGTTGTTTGGCTTGTTGGCTTCCCTTTTCAGATGCTGGCATGGTCTCTCTTTAAAATTCAAATTCAGAATAGTTTTGTTGGCATCCTGACAGAGGAGATATCTATGTCCTGGGAGAACCACAGCCAGGGTTCTCCTGCATCCTTTTTTTTTTTTGAAGTCACATCCTCCCTGACATCATAAAAATTAACACATTTTTATGAAGTCAGCCTCACAGGCCTTCAAGGGCAGTTACTCTCTCAGTGCTTGCTTTAAAATATTATGAACACCATCAATGCAGTAAGCCTGCAATATATGCTATTTCAAAGTATGCACTTCAGCTTTTGTTAAGGTCATTTCAGGAAACTGTTAGTTGAACTGCATAGTTAGGTTTGAGCTTTGTGAGGTTTGTGGTGTTGCATGGCCTCATATTGTCTTGGCATCATGTCTGACTTCACTGAGGAGGTACAAGACCATTTCTGTCCTTCTTTAGAAGGATGCCTGTCCCTGAGACCAAGATATGGTCCTATTTTTTTATATTAGAGGAACAGCACATGCTAGCTATGTATTATTGGCAAGCTCCCTGGTAGATCTAAGACTTTCTAAGATCTTTTAATGGCAGTTATGATGAAATATGCGCCATAGTTTCCCTGCTGAGCTTTAACATATGCATATGCAGGCATTGGGCTGCAATCTACAGCTGCTGTGTCAGCACAGTGTTACATACATATATCAGACCAGGGTGTTTAACAGTCTTGTTCTATAGTAGACTGTGCAGAAGGAAATGTCAACATGTAGGTAATGAATTTGTACACATACAGTGAAAATAGCCCTGGGTGTCTCGATAGCACTGGCTGTGTTGAGCCTATTTATTGTTTGAGTGTGTGTATATATATGTAAGAGAGAGGTTTTCTTAGACCTGCACTATGATCTGAGGAACTAGATAAGAAAATTGAAACACAATAAAACAATGATTTGAGTTACAAGTCAGGAAGAAAGGAGGTTTCCTGGAAATAACTGTCATTTGCTACTGATGATTGGGAAAACAAAGACTGTATTTTAACCCAAGTAAATTGGATGTGCTCACATTTAAACTGTATTAATTGAAATTATAATGCAACGTGTACAGTTTACTGCACTGTTAATTTCAGGAATGTTTTTGAAAATTGTTAAAATCACATACCTGTTCTGTCATTGTTATTTTTGATCCTAATGGAAAGTTCACACACACACTCTCTCAATTAACTATCTTTGCTTAAAAAGATGTCACTGAAGTCATTTGTAGTGCAAAAAACTTGGTGCATGTGGGTTGACATTCCAGGTCAGTGAATGACGGATCAGCCTCCTCCTGTCGTCACACAACCTGCTGACACACTCCACTTGCTGGCTCTCGGCCACTGTTGCTTTTTTGCTCCTGTCAGAGTCAAGGCTGTTGAACAGTGACCTCACTACACTGTCCTGCATTAGTAATGAACCAGTCAGAGCTGTGTTCTGTGTTTTCCTGCTTGAAGTTTATATGTTAAAAAAGGTGAATTGGGTGCATTTCAGTCAGTTTTTCTCGATGTTAACATTCCAGTATTACAGTAACTTGGTTGTAGGTTGCAGGTCAGCATAAGTGTATTGAATTTAAACTGTATATCTGAAACAAATTCTAAACTTGCTATCTTCCTGTGTTTCTTCTAAAGGACCTGGAGTTCCATGGCGTGATGCGATTCTACTTCCAGGACCGGGTCGCCGGTAACTTCGCCACCAAGTGCATCAGAGTCTCCAGCACGGCAACAACGCAGGATGTCATTGAGACGTTAGCTGAGAAGTTCAGACCAGACATGAGAATGCTCTCCTCGCCAAAATACTCCCTTTACGAGGTCCATGTCAGTGGCGGTGAGTCCCATAGATTTCTGATGAGGAGGAGCAAGAGATTTACACAACCAAACCAAAATGAACTTAACAATTTATCTCACAATATGTCATAGTTAGCTCTCAGATGAACTGGTGTCTCTGTGTGTGTGTTAGAAGAGCGTCAGCTGGACCTGGATGAGAAGCCTCTTGTTGTTCAGCTGAACTGGAACAAAGACGACAGAGAAGGACGCTTCGTCCTAAAGAATGAGAATGACATTCTGCCCAAGGTGAGCTGCTCTGTCTGTTGATCTGTTAATCAGGATGATTACTAGTGAACTGAATCATTCCTCCATTCATCCACTACCTGCTAAGAAAAACATCTCCCTGAAGCAGGTATACCTGCTGGCAACATACTTTGCATGCTTGTGTTGCATACTTATGAATGCTTGTTTCTGGTGTTCTTGGATCCTTTGCAGCACAGGGGAAGAGTTATTTCTAGAGTAAACCCTTTTGCAATACAGCCAGAATGGAAAGAATACATTGTGTTTGTACCAACATAAAGCAAAGTTTGCAGAATTGGGCAGTGAGGTCATTTATAGTAAGAAGTGTAGTTTTGTCAGTGTTAACAAACACATAGGACTTCCATGTTTCTATTTTAAGATTGCAACAAAGCATTAAACATAATATGCATCAATTTAAAAAAACAAACAAACAACGTTTTCAGAGCAAATATGTCTGTAATGTGGGGTATTTTATTTTAAATTTGCATTGTGCATTTTTCTTTCTATGGAGCATGCATGCATATTGCTACCAGTTGTGCTGATGAATTTATCTTTAGATTTAGGCCATAGGTGTATGCTGTATATAAGCAGCATAGTGAGTGAAGTTACTGGCAAAACATTAGTTATGCAGCCCTCTGATGCCCTTTAACGTTAAATCACATTTTCTTTACTCCATTATTTTCTTCACCATGAAGTCATGACTAATATGAACCAAAGTAAAAACCAGAGACGCCTTTCTCAGATGTCAAAACATGTCATCTTTGACAGAGTTGCATTTTAAATATATAATGGTCACAAATAGTCCGACACTAATGTTACTCCATAACGACACACACGGAGTTGCTGTTGCAGCCTGTGTCACGTTATAGTATTTTCTGACAAAGTAAAACTAAGTGACATGATATCATGACGGTTGCTGAAGACAGACAGTAATGTTGATCATTTGAACTTTTCGGGCTGCACTGAATTGTCCCCTCTGCGTTCACATCGCTCCTCCTTAATGCACCTCAACCTGCAGCTGACGGAGTGATGAACGGTCATTCTGTACTCTCAAAGACTGCTGTCTTTAAAGTTGATGAGAATAAGTTGGTAAAAATGTGAGTTAAATCAGTTAGTTAAAAAGTTGGATAAAACGTTTAAAAAGTTGTTTTCTGTAGTCCTCAGAAAACCTGTCAGAGTAAGCGATGTATGCACTGTTTTGGTTTCAGAATCTGTGGCAAAGTGAGTCATCTTACCGCTGTACGTTCATGAGCGATCTTAACTTTTGTCATCTCCGTGAGCCACGTTTGACTTGTTTACAACAAGCAGCAGTAAAAACAGAGCTTTCGTGGTGTTGCTTTCACACGCTTATGCCTTGCAGACTAAATTTGTCTTTTTACAAAATCTAATTGTACAAAATGAATGTACAAGAGCGACTGTGACACTGAACAGCATTTACTGTTTTATGAGAAATTAAAAATATATCGGCAAAACCCCGTCTGTGATGATTATTTTGAAAAGGGCTATAATCAACCGATTTATCGGCTGGCCGATTAAATCGGTCGGGCCATACTTTATTCATTTGTTTGTGACTTAATTCATTCAAAAAGAACATAACATTACATACTGTAGTAAGATTCTCCACATAGTCTCTCAGAGCACCTCAATCACTCCTCTTTTTTCCTCCCAGAAGAGTCAGAGTAATGGACCAGAGAAGGAAAAGGATGGAGTGATACAGAACTTCAAGAGGACTTTGTCCAAGAAGGAGAAGAAGAAGGAAAAGAAGAGGGAGAAGGAGTTTGCTCGGATCCCTGATGGAGACGAGCAGGCGCTCACCCGGGAGGACGGGTAACATACACACTCACAGTCATCCATCTTAATGCCCTGCCCTTACATCCTCTCAGTCCTTGGAGAGGATTTTGTTGTTTTTCAATGCCAAGAAAAGCACAGAACACTCGAGAAGAGGAAAGGATAGTGATTTAAACTCTGACCTCTCTGTTCCTCAATCTGTCTTCTGCTTTTTTTTTTCTCCACACATGCTGTCTTCTCCATTGTCATTTATCTCTCTCATTTTGCTGGAATTTAAGGGAGAACAGTCGCCTGGCAGCAGAAGTTTACAAGGACATGCCCGAGACAAGCTTTACCAGGACAATCTCCAACCCAGAGGTGGTGATGAAGAGGAGACGCCAGCAGAAACTGGAGAGACGCATGCAGGAGTTCATGAGCAGTGATGGGAGGCCAGACTCAGGTACTTCAAATTATCTTCTTTTTTTTTTTTCTAACAAAAAATACACATGAATCCTTCGTTTCACAGTGTATTCAGACCATTTTCTACCAAACCAACTGTGAGCTGTGATCACCAGTTGTGCATATTTCATAGTCTCATAGGTGTCATAATTTAGTGGTTGTCAGAGCAAAAACCAAGCCAATAACTTTACCATAAACCTCTGAGACTGAAGTATTAGTGTTTCGGCATGGATGCGTGTAAGAATATGAAGAAACTGCTGAAGTATTAAAAGTTCCCATGAGCTTAATGGGATTCATTATTATGAAATAGAAGAAGTTGTAACCCACCAAGACTTTTCCTACAGCTGTGGGTCTGTCAGACAAGTAAAGAGTCTGGACAAAGGGCTTATTACTGAGCTACATTCATGAAAAATAGTGACAGACAGAGATTGACACAGCTGTACAAGTTGTTGTAAATTGACTTACAGAAATAATTCACAAATTGACACTTTTCTGTGGTTGGTATGGAAAAATGCTATCTACTCCTAGCAGCTGATATTGCAGCCCTTTGTGTTCTCTGAAAATGACGTGATATGTCACTCACTGCTTAGGGATTGAGCAAAAACGAAGCAAAACAACCCCCATTCCCAACTAGGAATTTGCTCACATTGACACAATGTCTGGCTCAATGGAAGTAAACAAAATGCCAGTGTGTTAAACTTGGCCAATAACAGTGGTGGAGTGGGGTGTTAATATAATCATTCAACGAGGATGCTTCATACCAGAAAGTGCAGGGGGACTTGACCCAAATAAGATGCACCTTTTCAGGACAAAAGGCTGAGTCAAACAGCCAACGATGGAGCTGGTTTGGCTTCTGAACAAGTCTGAATGGCCTTGTGTGGCTTAAAGAAAGGCTGACGTACGCATGAACGCCGGAGATAATCTGCAGAGTGACCTGAACATCACAGTTCACTGCTGCTCCTTATCCAGCGTGGCAGGGCTTGAGAGAACCGGCAAGCGACGGCTGAGTTAAATGCTCTAAATCCAGTTGTGGACAGCTGGTTGAGGTGTTCTGCAGCTGTTACCACTAGCAGTGGTGCTTATACAACATGCTGAGTAACGGGTGTGAATTCATGTGAAGCAATATTCACTTTTTTTTATTTTAGGTGCCACTGATCGCTCTACATCATGTTAACATCAGCTGCTTCCTAGAAGTGCCATATGCTGTTGCAAAGTCTCACGCTGACATGTTTACGCTTCCAAAAAGACTTACGTTTGCATTGAATGAATGAAGCAAACATGCTGACTGGTTCGGCGTATGACTCAGGCATTACCTAATCACGCTGCCAGACAGACAGATGGACCAGTGAACCAACTCTAAAAACAGCTCTAACCACTGTCCGCATATGGTAGACACGCACACACATGCACACATGCACCCGATGGGACAGGATGGCTTGTGGTTAGACAATGACGTCCCAGTAGAAAGTGCTATTTTGAAAAGCTCATTTTATGTAATGCTTCTAAAAATCCTGTTTGTTTTGCTGAAGACTCCCTTGTGGGATTTTCTAAGGTGATCATTTCAAGTTGACACATCACAGGCACATGGCTACATGTTCCTCCAAATGCTGCATCTTATAAAATTTATGAGCTTTACAGTTTAGTCCATGGCAAATGCCAAAACACAACTAAAATTATTATCTGTGTATGTAAGAAATTAATTATGATAGGATTGAAAACTACATCTGTTTGTCTAACATCTACATTAATTGTGTTGGGCTTTGATTATGCGAGTACTGAGCATAATTTTAGATTGGTAAAGGCAGCTGCATTTTGCTATTGAAACTCCAGTTTTAAGTACAGAAAGAAACTGTCTTAAGCCACAGTTGCGGTAGTAAAGAGGGGGGCATTATTAGTCTTACTTTGCCTCATGCTAACTGTATTACCTTTTTAGATCAGATAATCCAAGCTAAATAGACTGCGATTTAGTTTGAATTATGATTTGTATCCAGTAGTCCAAAGGGTGTTTTTATAGGTTTTTTCCGCTATTCAAATTGTTTGGACAAACTGTCACTTGTACACTTAATATTTACATGAGCACCAAAAACACTGTCTTAGTAGTTAATGTTCTCGCTTTTTTATATGCTAACATGATGCAAAAAGAAACTACATTCTGCTGCTGTCTGCAGGGGGCACACTGAGGATATACGCTGACAGTCTGAAGCCCAACATCCCTTACAAGACCATCCTGCTTTCCACGAGAGACACAGCTGACTTTGCCGTGGTGGAGGCGCTGGAGAAGTACGGGCTCGAGAAGGAGAACCCCAGAGAGTACTGCATTGCTCGGGTAACAACACTTTTTCACCTTCTAACTTTGAGGTTTTTCCGTATTAGAATCAGACACTAAACACTCACCTACCCGCCTTTTTATACCGCCTATAAACATCCTCTTAGATAGACGTCAGATGCTGCAGGTGCCAAAAGCATCAAATCTGGTGTCAAATCAAGTTAAATTAGTTTTGGCTCCTGCAGCTGCAGCATATACAATTACGCTCTTGTTGTGTCATGTAGGGATAACGGAATTTGATCACAGCATCTATTTGTCATAATTTAATATGTGTGACATTCACCAGATTGATTTTATTTTTGAGCATACTGGCAGACGTTGCCCCCTTCTTATGCTTTCATCCTCCTATTTCTCGACTAAACGCAACCTTGACCCCTAATCTCATCAATAAACGCCTTCATCATCCTTCTGAGAGGCCGTGGAGATGAAAGTCAAGGTCACTGTCACACACACAGGAACACACACACACATAAATGGACACACACTTCCCCCGACTGGCAGATTGAAACAGAATGCTACTTGGCACAAAAACCTTCAGGAGGAATGCAATTGAATTGCTTTCAGACTGAGTGCTATAGCAGCAGTAGATGCTGTGTGTGTGTGTGTGTTGTGGTGTGTGACAGTGAACTTGGCTGCCCTTACCACAGCCTCTCTCATATCTGTCCTCTCAGGTGGCTATGGCCAATCATATGAAATAACTGCTGCTCCCACAGCCAATACAGTGGGAGATCCTCCAGGGGCTGAACACACACACACACACACACATACACACTGCTGATAGACAGTTGCAATTTGCTGATGAGACTAAAGCACAGGGGAAGTCCATTAGCTTAGTGAGCATGAGAAATAAGCACTGGTATACTAGCTAGTAGGATGTCAGCTAGTGTTAATATTTGGGGGGAGGGGATGTTAACTGAGATCAGACTGAACAGAATGTAGGACAGTAATAAATTGCAGTCAGTTCTGTAAAGATAATAAGACAAAGCTATAACAATTTCATTATGGGAAGTAAACCTGTGGGAGAAAGCCACTGTTCTTCAAACCAGCTTATATGTAATGACTCATCATGACAATTCAAAAATGAGACTTCTGAAACACCAGAGTCATCTCATGTTCAGCAGCATTTATAATCTAGTACACAGACAACATCATATGGTAAAGTAGGAGTCACTGTATCTTTAACTCAGATTTTTTGACTCGAAATCAGACAATACCCTGGAAAAGTAGTTATTGGACATTCTAGACCATCTGGACAAGAAAAACTTTTAGTAGTCCAATTTATGAACTGCTGCATCTGTGAAGGTTATTAACCTTCTGATCCCCCAAACCCGCCAGTGGGTTGGAAAGGCATTTTTCTTCTGTCAAAATTGAGCTATTTATCAGAGCCAGAACTGTAAAAAACCTCCAGAACATATCATGTTTCGTGTACCGTTTCTTTGGATAAAACAACCAGATCTAAGCTTAGAATTGTGACAGTTAATCAAAATGACTTTAATCTGCATGGCACTGCTCCTTAAATATATGGCATTTGCACTAGATCATGTACAGAACAAAAACCTTTGCACTCCTCTGAGCAACTGCGAAGAAACAGCTGACTGAGCTGCAATCAACAGTCACATGCCGAAAATAATTTCAGATGAACAGAGCGGAGATTATTAGAGAGACTGAAAATAACATAAAACATTTGAGCAATAAAATAAAAGCAGCATGGTTCACAATGTTATTGGAGCAAGTTGTTGGACGATACAGTCAGCAATAATATCAATGTCTGACTAGCGTTGATGTGCAGAGGAGTGAGCAAAACACATAGCTTGTACAGGTTGTAAAAATGTAAACAGACCTAGTTAAATAGCTCAGCTATGGTATGTAGAGCTGCCATTTTTTTCTAGGAGTGACAACACCTGCTAGCACTTTGACAAATGTTGTTCATGCTGACTCTAGCTTCTCTATTTGAAGAAAAAGGAATCAAATAAATTCAATTGTTTTTTTCCCTTTTTAAAAATGATTTATAGAATTAAAACTTTGTTAAACTGCACTTACAGACATTTTAGCTCTCTCTACTTCTACCCGTGGTTGTCCTGTTTCCTCAGAGGGGCAGGAGTTACTATATTGCAGTGAAAAATTTGCCCCCAGTGAGTTAAAATATGCTCAGAGCCCAGGAACTGCTTGGGCTTAAGAGGGTTAAACATGTAGATGCCAAAATATATATGCATACAACATAAATAACAGCAATCTGTTTAACTGTGCAGCTTTTTGTTTTATTTGCAGCAAGATGATAAGTCCGGCAAGGAGGTGATTCTGGACGATACTGAGTGTCCACTGCAGATCTTCAGGGACTGGCCTGCTGACAGAGGTAAAACAGTAACACTTTAATTCTGTCCCTTACACTGTATTTACATTGTGCTCCTCTCACACTGCTCATATTTTCTGGATTGATACTGCCCCCTTCTGCTGCCTTAAAGCCACTACACTATTTTTTGTACAAACTCACTGAGCAGTTGTAAACATAAGAATGCAATGTACAGATTTGGACCTTTTGTCCTGACAATTTGAAGGAAACACTCCATAATGACATTTCAAACATCAGATGATCAGCCCAATATCATTTTTTCATCCACCAGAAAATCTTTATATTTTAATTTTACCTTTGAATGTAACGTGCTGACAGTCTTGATAATAAAAGTTTCTCTCTCTCTCTTATCTCAGGAGCGTTAGTGTTTCAGCTCAAGAAGAGACCTCCTGATTACCAGGGGAGGAAGGCAAGGAAAATGGACGACAAAAGCCTCCGAGGGAAGGACAGCTCACTGCCGCCTGAGAAACTGCCTTATCTGGTGGAGCTGAGCCCAGGTAGAACCACAGTGCACACACACACACACAGCATCACAGTGACTAGCCTCGTTACTGTGATTTCTTTAGCATTAGTATCCATCAGTGGTATGTTTAACAGTATTGGGAGCAGTAGTACCACCAGTGGAAGCAGCTGTTGTGGTCAACATGCAGTGGCAGACAGTGGCCGGTAGGCGGCACTGTAGTTGCAGTAAATAACATTTAAATTTAGCCAAAGGTGAATCTGCTTTCCTCTTCCCTGCTAAGGTGAGTGAATCCTGTGGTTAAATTATAGTTCCCAGCTGTTCACATCATTTCAGTTGTGGTTTCTGTTTTTTTTTTTTTTCTTAGTATATAAGAACCACTGCAGGCGGTCAGCAATCACTGAAATCTGTACTGACTGGTTGTATTTACCTATGCATGACTTCCACTCAACACCTTTCAGAAAAGATATTATTACACTATTAGAAGTCACAAAGGAAGCACTCAGTTAATGCACTATTTGCCTTTAAGCTTTTCTTAAGTGTTACCTATTAATAGAAGCATATTTTAATTCCAGCACTACTTATTTTAGTTACAATGTTCCCCCTTCAGGCAGCAGTCGGCTAACATCAAAGAATGAATTGTGAGTGGAAACATTTGGCAGTTCTTCGGATTAAAGTGAAATGTTATCAGGCAGATATGGATCAGATTATATGTAGGTGTTATCAGAACCGAGTTCCACAAAATATCTAAGCCTTTGAGGCACAACAGCCGGAACCTGTTTTGCGTGTACATTTTTTAAACATATTTTTCCGCACAAGTTTAGTCATGGTAAGCGCTTGTTCATGTTACTATTCAAAGGAAAAATCTGCCCTATCATGAGATGAAAATGGTAATGATTTAAAGAGCCGGACATTTTTCAGTTACCTAAACAAACTTCACAACTTAGCTAATACTCAGTTATGTACATCTACCACTGAGTTTTTCGATATGCATTGTTGGGTATTGGAGGACATAACTAAAAAAGAAGTATGCAGGGAAGGTGAAGGGACTACAAAGACAACAAAAGGTAAGTTACAATAACAAAACAACAGAAAAACTCCTGGAATGCTGTACAACACCCCAGACTATTTGTTCTAAAAAACATTTAGGGCATTTTGGAGAAACCCACCTGAGTCTTGCAAAATGTGTCATGTCCTGCCCTAACAGCTTGTTTCTCGCTACTGATCCCTCTCTCTTTATCTGCCTTTTTGTCTTTCGTTCTGTCATGCCTTTAACTTACCCGGCCTGGTGGTGACTCAAACACCTTTCAGCACACAAGTGGTTTGAACTGTAGTGCTGAAATGGTATTGGGAAACCAGTAGGTCCGCTCCAGGAATATACTAACACATCTACTTCATCCACTGTAAGGTTGATGGGTCAGTGTACATAGAAGACAGCCAGGATGGAAAATTGATTTGGTGACGCTCATAAATAATGGGTGCTGGGCCTGGGTTAGTGTGTGGTGGAGTGCGTATGAGTGAGTGTGTATATTCCTGTACTTCAACCCCTAATACCAAAGTACTATAACAACACAGTGCAGTGCTTATAGTTTGCGTGTAGAAGATGGGAAAATGTTATGATGTGCTGCCCTCATTACTGTCAAAACTCTACTCAATATTTCGACTGCCACTATCAGTAAAAAAATCTGAAAAATTATAGAAAATGTGAACGTTTGCACTGAAAAGATAGAAGTTACAACATTGCTGCTTTTATTTGATTCAATCTCTGTCACACATGCAGCCATATGAACTGAGACGGACTTGTGCTTAGTGTCTAACTGAAATTAAACAAATTCAACAAGATGCTTCAGCTTTTGGACTATAGACTGATCAACTATTAGTCAAGTCCCTTTGGTGTTCGCTATCACAAAAGTGAATAGAGACTGGTGAATTATACATGTTATACAAAGTCTAGATTCAAGACAGCAGAATTTACACTAACTGTATTCTAAAAGGTCAACTGTGAGAGGCCCTTTGAAATATTTTCTGTATGTATGTGTGTGTGTTTGTATGCCTTCCATGCATTTAATGGGTTAACAAGGTAATGCTGCATTTTTCCTCCTTGCTGCATTTTCACCCTCTGCTATGTGTCTGTTTTCTTTCCCACCTTCTTATGGCATGGTGTGTTTGTGTGTGCGCGCGCTTGCCTGTGTGTGCGTGTGGGGCCTGTGCATGTGTCCTCCTACCTGCCTGCCTGTCTGCCTAGGGCGAGGGAATCACTATGCCTACTACGCCTATCGGCACCACGAAGGTAAAAAAATCCAACGCACCTCCTCTGTGTCTGTTGCAGTGGCTGCTGGGGTTGCTGGGGGAGGTCCAGCAAGCCCAACTCCCCACTTGGCCAATTTTATTCAAACACATTCCCCTGTGAAAAATCTTCTCTGTGTTGTAGTTGTAATTCAGTAGCATTATTCATAATGTAGAATCCTTTGTAAATAAGCGTGAATACTGGCTGGAACGTAATGAAAAACACAATTTAACCTCTTAAGACCCGAGCTTTATATATATATATTTAAATCTAAGAAAATAAATAAATGAATAAATAATAATAATAATAATAATAACAATAATAATTAATTTCTGTGGTAATATAACCCAAAATGTGATGTCCATGCATGTGGACGCCAGGTCTTAAGAGGTTAAAATCTTCATTTTTTCAAAAGGACTGATTATCACTTTTGATATTTTACATTTAAGTATGACATCCTGTAACGGCTTAAATAAGTTTCAGTATATTCTATTTAAACAGAAAAAGGCATCATTTGTTGGTTTTATGGTTAAATGATCCTTGTGCACTCCTGCACCTGATTTACTGTGTGAAGATTTAGAACCAAATGGTGACCAAGATTACAAGACCTCATAACGAATCAAACGATACTTTAATTATCCAAATACTCTTACACACTAAAATGTAAGCATGTGACCTATTAGTTTTCAGCTTGTTTGAACAATGATGTTGGATAAACACGAGGATAATTTTGTTGAAGTTCTCATTAGTTCCCTGTAGCAGTTGCCCTTGTGTTTTTGTTATTTTAGCTGCCTGTTGATTCCAGTATTATTTTTAGAAGCTGGTCAGACTAATACCCATTCATTTGTTTTTCCAGAGCAGCCATGTTTTATATCTTTCTCTCCAGTGAACTAATGTGCCGCTTTGCTTTTACTAAACTCCTGCTTACTAATAGCCAGTAACCGCTCTGCAGCCCCACCAGCCACCCACAGTTTTTTTTTACTGCCTTAGCTGTGCACATACCAGTATCCACCAGTTTGTATTGATTCTTTGATGTCGAAATGATGAATTGATTCTGTGCTGTTAGCTCTGTGTGTGTGTGTGGCAGTCAGTGTGAGTGTGTGAGGTTGTGTGCTGTTTCTTTAAAATCTGAATGTGATGTGAGTGCAGCCCTGCCCACTGCTAAATCTGAGAGTTTATGTGTGTGTGTGTGTTCAGACGGCTCTGACTCAAGGGACAAACCAAAGCTATACCGGCTTCAACACAGCATCACTGAGGTCGGCTCGGACTGCACAGAGGACGGAGCCATCCAGGTAACCACATCACTATAACACTTAAAGGTCAAACTTAAGGTGGCTATGTCCCTCAAACATTCTGCATTTGAGGGGATGCTGTAAAGTTAGTAGTTTGCTCAGAACGTCTAAGCTAGGTTAGCCTGGCTTGCTGATGGTAGCAGTGATTCCCAATGAAAGTTACTTTTTGTTACGATTACAATCTGCTGTGTCAGTGGCCGTTCCCACACTTTCAGTGTTGTCTTCGACCCACATGGTTAGAAAGACGAATTGCTAACATTAATGTGTGTCCTTCATGGAGTGATGCACATATCTGTAGATCAAAAAGTACTTTTTTATGACTGTCTTAGATATTTTTTTCTAGCCTGCTATATGTAGAAATGTTAAAAAATAATTCACTAAGAAAAAAAAAGCAAAAGCAAGGTACCAAGATGTGCAAAAATAGTGTCAGGAAACCGGACAGTAAGGCCAAACAAAGCAGGGTAAAACTAAGGTGAAAGATAAAGATAACATCACGTTAAAATGGAAAAATAAAAGATGCAAAAATCCTTAAAACAAAATGCCAATATAAGTAAATACAAATGTAGTAATAAAGCAATAAAAACCGCAATAGGCAGTAAAAAGGTGAGATCACATTAATGCAAGTCTATTAAAGTGAGTTTTAAGTCAGTGACTCTGTGAGCCTCATTTCCTCAGGCAGGTTGTTCCAAAGCCGAGGGGCCCTGATGGGAAAAGTAGGATCACCTTGACCCAGACCCTTGACTTTGAAACAGTCAGAAGGGCCCCACCTGAGGATCCAAGGCTGTGAGCTGTCCCTTGTTCGGCAATTAATATTAGCAGCTTTGTACAACTAGCAAATATGGGACGTAAATGGGAATAAATCTGTACACTTGGTGAAGGTATTGTTGTAGGCCTTTTCACTGCTGCTGGTCTTCATTGATATCTGTCATGCTTTAGTCTGTATGATGGTGAAACAAGTCTTAAATTGAATTGTAGTTGGTAGTAAAACACAACAAAGAATAGTCATGCAAGTAATTTGTATTACGACACAAATTAACACAGGGGGTTCTCAAATCACAGATGAGATTAAAACTACTAACAGCACAGGGACCCCAGCTGGTTAACTGCCTCTGGAGTTGAAGTGGTATCTCAAACTATTTTTAACACCGGCTCTCACAGATCAGTCACTGATGTATCTGCCGTGTTTGTCTACAGCTGCTCGGCCCGGGGATTCTGCCCCACCACTGCAACCTCATGCACAGTGAAGGCATGGTGACCGTGACGCCGCACGGCCCCGACGCAGACACATTCGTTGACGGCCAGCGCGTCACCGAGACGACGGTGCTGCGCTCAGGCTCCACCCTCCAGTTTGGCTCTGCTCACGTCTTTAAGTTTGTGGACCCGATGTTCGACCAGGGAGGGAAGAGAGAACCAGCCGCCATGATGAGGAGCCGACACAAGTCTGGGTGAGGGAAAGGACAAGGTTGTGCGGTTTGTCTGTGTGTTTGGAAGTTGAGCCTTCACCTCAAACTCAATGACACTCCTGGTTTTTCCATACTTGTGTTTCCATCTCTCTCTCTCTCTTTTTTTTTTTTTTTGCTTTCATCGTCCTCCTTTCCTTCTTCATCTGCCCTCTATCCATCATCTTCTGTACACACAGTTTTCCGAAATCTGAAAAAGAATAGGGTGTTATTGTAAATGAAGGGAGGAGAGGATGAGGTTTGGAGTTGGCAGGCACATCTATAGATGAAGGGAAAGAAAAGGGGGAGGAGGGAAGTGTGGGGTTGGACAGATGGAGAGAATGAGGAAATGAGAGGAAAGGAAGAGCGGAGGTCTAGGGTTATGGCAGGCAGGCTGCCCTCTAATCTGATCAACATGGTGTTGGGTGTGGCCTCCCCTGCTCGCTGCAGTTTCACACACTAACAGGAGAAAGAAAGAGAGCCCGCAAGATAAGAGAAGAGAGTGTGTGAGGAAGTTAGAGATGAATGAAGGACAAGGAAAAAAAAAAAGGTTTTGATTGAATAACCCTTTAATGACTTAACGGATGACTTAACTCTGCAAGAAAGGGAAAGAGGTGTGTAAGTAGCCAACAGCGTAACTCACTGTGTGTGTGTGTGTTTGTGTTTTCCTGCGTGAAGTAGTTCTTTCAAATGGTTTAGGATGAGAAGCAACAGATTCTGGTTTGTCTTGTATAGCTTGTCTTGGGGATGTTTGACATGTAGAATATAACTTTGTGTGCTGTTTCCTATAGTTGATGATGGTCATAAATATATTTAAAGTCAGTGTAAAGTTTGTCTATACAAGCACTTCAGAAAGAAATAAACCTTTTTTTAAGTGTTGAGAAGAAAAGAAACTAAAATTATATGTGCATTTTTACTATGGAAGTTACTTATTTAGTTAGTTATTGATCCAGCAATATGAAATGAAATGAAATGAAAAATACTTTATTTATCCCAGAAGGGAAATTCAATATTACATCAATATTTGCATGTTTGGGTGCTTGATGGTTAGCAGTAGCATTCTGAATAAAATTTCAGTGGCTGGATAGTGACATGAAGCTGTAGATTTAGATGTGGGCTCTGACTCCATGTACCTCAGAGGGTTTGCAAGACTTTGCTATATGCTTGCATTCCAGCTAAAAAAAAGAAAAAACTCCATCAGGTGATTTTGATTAGTACTTTCAACCAGAGAGGAAGAAGTCAGCAAGTGGACTGAGCTGGAAAAAAAGACCCTGCAGGGTTCTTGTCCTGTGAACTTGGCACGCTTACTCTTTTTTTTTTTCTTGGTTTGCTGCTTTTTTCATTACCCTCTAACCCTCTGAACCCCCAAGCAGTTTCTGGGAGTTTTATTTGCTTCTGTCACATTTTTACTCAGTGTGCGCTCATTTTTCACTACAATATAAAGTCCCGCACCGCTGTGGAAACGGCACAGCCATGGCTGGAAGAGGCAACTCGAAAAGGACTCGAGCTGTCCAACAAGGTTATAAAACCATAAATAATACAAGACGGTGAAGACACAAAAGTGGAATTTCTTTGATTATTTATCCTACAAAAATTCATAAAATACTGGAATCAAGTCTCAATCATCTACCAGTTAAGGTAATATATGACCCATGCTGTAGCTGCCACTACAATGGGCCTAAGGTTAGCAGGCTCATTAAAAATGTAATTGGTCAAGTTATTACCTATTAATTTTGATTGTGTATTTTCATTTTTTTATTGGCTTCTTTTGTGTTGAGGGCAGAAAGCTTTAATCCAGAGTTAATGCGATGTCTGACTGTCGAGAGAGAGGGACAAAAGAAAAATCAGTGATGGCATACGTTGAGGTGTTTGGGTGGTTTGTGTCTCCATCTCCAAGTATAGCAAGCCATTATTCAGCAACACTTTCACATTAAGTAATGTCTGTTTTATCATTCTTTATTTGAGTTTTCTAAACCCATCTGAGTTCAGTTCACTATTACTTGTGTAATTATTTGACCCAGGATTTTCAGATTTCCTGATGTTGTGAACAAGTTCTTGAAAAAGTTAAGACAATAAAATGGTCTATCACTCATAGAAAAGGTAGCACTTTTTGTTTTTTTAAGGACTCTGCTTGTAGTTTGATGTGATTATCTTATTTTAGCCGACAGTAGGGCAAACACATTGCATTACAATGCACACTGTAACAGTACATTTTTCAAATTGCAAATAGGTACTGATTCATCCAAAAACCTGTGCTAATTATATGTTTTTTATATTAACAATACATTCAATAAATAGAAAATGTAATCCATCAGGGGAAACTAATATCTTTGTAATTTGCTATTGGTGTGAAATGTGCATTGCCGGTACATGCCGGTATTGTTTTATCATCCAGGTTGATGGCAGTGATGTGTTTACAGATAGTGTCACTGCCATCAAAGAAATCAATGCTGTTGTATGTGAACACGAATTGGATCAGAAGGTCAATATAAGCTTATTAGGCTGGTCAATAGTGTGTAATTGTATTTACATTTGACCTGCTATCCGTCATTCAAAAGGTCAAATGGCATATAGAGCAAGCACTGGGAGAAGTGCTTCCTGCGGTCATACTCGTGGAGCGATTTAGGGATTGATACGATTTTGTCCAATTCTCAGCTGAGTAGGAGAGTTGTATAGTTTTCTAAAGTCTGCAGAGTCACATTAACGAGTTACATTGGTCAGCTCTGTGCTGCCTCTATCTGGAACATGCGTCTGAAGTTGTGGACGTGGATCCTTGTGGTTTTCTGGGCTGTTTTCCAATGTCCTGCTGCACAAACATACAAGGATACCTCGTTCACTCAGGCTTCAGACACATCAGGATGTTTAGGCTGATTACAGCCACAGTTTGGCAAGACAGCAGATTTTTAAGATCTGAGTTATTTGGCACCAGATTTTGGCAGATACACAGATGATCTTGTAGTGAATGAGTGCTCAAACCTTCAATCTGTTGCATCTTAACTTAGTCAGGATCGTCATCTGTATTTAGCATTAGTCGGTGAGAGAAGAGCATGAAACAAAGATGGTGGAAGTCTGGAAAGAAGCATAATCTGCATCCATGTTTGTTTGGATTATTCCCCTTATTTTACATGTTTTTAATCCAAATGTTTTGAACTAATCTTAGTAGACATGGCATTAAAGAGTTAAGATTTTGACCTTTTATCCAGCTGTTTCTGTTATGTTTAATTTGATAAAAATGTCTTGCTGTGGTTTGTGTGTTTATTTGACTTGGTATCTATTGACAGAAGTACATGTAACAAGATGGCGCATGGTTTACTTTTGCTAATAATTTAGAGGTTTGGTTATCTGCACTTTCATCTTCAGTTGTGGCATATTGTTATAAAGCAATCAAACAAGTTGTCAAAATTGAGTAGTATAAAGTGTAAAATCACAGCATTGCTATATCCTCTGAAAAACATTTCACGTCAAGAACCAAGTAATGCCAAGTCAGGATTCATAAAAATTTATGAAATGGAGGGAGACCAAGAAATCGGCTTGTGTGGCTTGATCTTGTGTCTGGTTTCTGAGATCAAGTTGTATATTAGCTTAAGGAAAGTCCTTTATTCACTGGCTGCAGTGTGAGACCAGGATGTTGAACTTGAATGGGGGATGAAAAGATCTGTGTTCAAAGTCTGGAAACATCTGCTTAAAGTTCATCTGCTTTAGTATAAGCAAAGTTTGAAAGGCCTTATCTATTGAGGGTTGAAGTGTCATCAGTAGATGAAAAATCGTAAACACTAACAAATATATCAGCTCTGAAAATGTAGCTGAAGATAGAAAATCTGTGTAAGTGTAGTCACGCTGTTAATGGTTCAACCTACTTTGGCTGCTGGTGGTTATTGTGTACGTGACAAAGACTTCGCTGTCAATGAAGCCGAGCACAAATGCTCCGTGTGTTTGTGTTTGTTTTGTGCCATTTATTTGACGTTGATGCCCTGCTGTCATGTGAGGCGTGTAAAGCAGAAGCCTGTCTTTGAAACCTGACTGCAGTCACATGCAATTAATGTCTGTCAGACAGACACACAGACAGCGTCCCGGCTTTGCTGTATGTCAGGACTCCTGGCATGGCTTCTCTATATCTAATTAGACTGTTACGTAAGTGTGTGTGCATAAAGCAAACTATCTGTCTGCATATATTAGTGAGTCATTCATTTACTGCATCTCTCATCCAGCTCTCTCCTCCCTGACGATTAGTTAGATAAGTGAGTGTGTCTGGGTGTGTGTGTGTGTGTGTGTGTGTGTCTGGATTAAGTCTGAGCTCTTGTCGTTGTCAGTAATGAAAAGTCAGCTGCAGAGAGCACAGTTTCTCATCTAACCGCCTGAATGTTTGTGTCTGTGCTGCAGCAGTGTACCAGAAACCACCTTCGACCTTCACGGAGACATCCACAGTGGAGCTGCCCTGCCTACCAGCAAGGTAACACGCTCACACACATTTGTGTATATTTGCTGTGTTGCGTTGAAGATGGGAACATTCTCTTCAGAGATGTGGGGGAAAAAACAACATTTTATTAGTAGTTTTATTGCACTGATCCAGTCTGTTCTAATGGTATCTGTGCCATTACTGACCTTAATCAGGTTGGATAACTGTCAATGATCCACGTTAAATATAGTTTTAATCAATTTTATTTAACTATGTTGATCATGCAAATAGAGAAAGTATAAATTCCCAGTTTATTGTGGTGTCGAAGTCATGTTAAGTTAATGTTTTTGTGCACAGCAGTGAGTTTTCAATTTGTAACTATTGAAAAAAAGAGACAGCTGGTCTTAGGTTTGTACTTTAGGAGAGAAAAAGATAGATTGGTGCATCTGTAGTTGTGGCAAATGTTTCCTTGTCTTTAAGCAAAACTCACCAAGAACTTTCATATCTCTTTGTTCCACTTGTGCTAAAAATAACTGTTTTACACCGTTTGTTATCAGTGTTGATCAGCTAAACACTTCCTTCATTCATCAATGAATTGTTTGGTGTAGAAAATCTTAACTGTCCGAATGCTTGTTTTATCTAATCTATAGTCAACAATATGAAGAGATTCATTTCTAATTATATAATAAAGGATAAAAGCAGCATACCCAAGCAGTTGTCCAGCTGGAACAAAAATTACAGAAAAAAAAATTAATTATCTAAATTGCTACAAACAAATTTTTTGTCACTTCACTAATCCTATGACTAACTGCAGCAGCTCCAGACATATACAGTTTATATAAAAGATTGCTGTTGGAAAGAGTGTGTGTTGTACTGTATGTCTGGTACACCATGCACAGAAATAGAAATTTAATTTGAGAACAGAAAGCTGTAAAAGAAGCGTCATGTCGTGTTTGCTGCTTGTTAGTAGTTTGGCCAGAGAATCTAACCCAAGGCATCGTGTCAGTGTTACAAAGCCACAGAAGACCGACACTTTGATTTAGTTTGCCTGTCAGCACTGTATATACACAGATCAAGTGTGAAGCCTCACAGTACAGTAGTCATTATTTACAGGTCTGTACTTTCCAGTCGGGATCATCCTCAGTAAATGAAAGCAGAAAAAATGTGGTTTTGTTGAAGCTGACTTCCTTCTGTGTGTGCAGAGCTCAGGAAAGCTGGAGATGGAGAGAGGAATGGTCAAACCCATGATCAGAGGAGAGCAGCAGGACAGCAGGTCAGACACACAGCTTTCTCCTCTTCATCATCTGCTCTCGTCCTCTGACTCATACTTATTCTTGTCACAGTCATAAGTGTTGTCTTCCACTTCTAATGGCGTTTTTTTTTTTTTGTCTTATCAGGTCTCAGGACATTTCAGCAGACAGAACAGAGTTGACTCTTCCAGCCAGCATCGAGTTCAGAGACAACTGTAAGTGTCCATGAATCACTTTCTGCCTCTGTCCATTCCCCTCACTGTGTTAGTGGCACAGTCAATAGTTGGAAACTATCGAACCCTTCTAGTTGCTTTTATAATTCATTTGACTGCCTGACCTGACCACAATGGTAGTAGTTCTATGCAATTAATGTCATAGTTAATGTAGATAATACAGAGGCTTTTCACATTGCCTCACTCCACAGTTCTGAACCAAAAGGGCCTGATGAATTAGATCAGAAAGCCATAATCATTTTCATTTTGTGGCATTAATCTGACTTCCATAAACACAGAGATAATGATATTGCATTGTGTGCGACTCATATTTGGAAGAAATTCAGTGGGATTCGTTTATAGCTTAAAAGCTTTGTTTCCTGTAATGCATCAAGATAACACAGTTAATTTGACGTTTATACTGTTAGGATAAATTATTATAAATTGGCCACTTAGGCATAGGGTTTCCTTGTTATTACGGGGTAGTCTTTTGGTATTTTATGGAGGTAAGCCACTGAAGCTGTAATAAAATGATTTTATTCTTATGGGCTGTGCAGTTTGTTAAAGTTAACTGCTTAGTTTGAAGTAGGCCTACTGGATTGTATGTGAATCACAAAGGCCAAGTAACTCCAAAGTAGAACCCAAAATGGAGCTTAAAACAGGATGTGGAAGAAAAATAAACCATATAGTTTAGCAGAATAACACTACAGCTACTACTGAAATGACTGCATATTGTATATCAGTATTCAATACTGAGGTAGAGAAGAGCACAAATTAAGCCAAACATTAAAGGGAGTTGTTATTCAGCAGGGTTCCTGTGCCTTCGTCTGTCAAAATGCACCAAACAGACTGATGTTTTGTCCAATGTGACCTCTGCTGTCTCTACAATATCACATTCCAAAAAGTTTTAATCTCTGTCTTTTGCATTCGAAAGAGGTCAGTCAGTTAACCTCAGCTGTATAGTATAATAAAAAGAAAATGTAATCTCCTCCTTCTGTGCGACTGGACGGAGGAAACCTCAGATTTAGACCAAATCGGCCTAATCCTCTTCTTTTAATTTTCTGCCTCTCAAGTGTATCCTTTATTAGATGGATTCAGTCAAAACTGTGACTGTGGCTTTGATTGTTAAATTTATCATTTTATGAAGTCTGTCAAGTCTTATATGTAGGATTTTCAGAAACCCAACGTTTCCCACACTCTTTGTAGCTCTAAGCTCCTCTTGCTGTTTGCTTTGTCTTTGTGACACTTCTGTTTATTGACTTTCTGTGTGCTCGGGGCCTTAGTGTGTCTCTGTCCACACTGTATATTTGGCATAGTGTGAGATCATCTGTTTTTCCAGGCAAAGGAGGGTTTTGACTAGTCATAGAGTGGTGGAGAGTCCCATACCCACAATGCACTGGGTGAAACCATATGCCCTAAGAGACAGAACATGTTGGGTACAGTGACGCACATGCAACACTAAAATCTGAATGCTTGCAGCATGTCTGGGTTTCACAGGGAGGGTTGCAGCAGTGCTGCTAAAGAGCAGCTGCAACCAGTTTTTAACATCAAATAGTTCACCAACCGAGCTAAACCGAAAGAAAATGATTCCACAGTAAGGCAAGTGGTTTCATTGGTCTATCTCAAATGACACATGTGCAGCCAAGTTCTGCACCAACAAAGTGACTTGTACAAACTGCTTGTCGCAGCATAAAGGCAGTGTGGGTCAGCTTTGACAGATGTGATGTCATTTGATTTAATAGATATTTATTGTGGATTTGGTCACTGATGGTCGGCAAGATTAGGAGTAATAGTAGTCGTCGAGGTGGACGTATTAGTGGTGGCAACAGCAAAAGCCAAAGCAGAGGGCCTTAGTGAAAAAAAATGCATAAAAAGGCAGGATTGTCCAACATGATATTTACTTTGTCACATAATGATGATTCTTATGTTTACAGCGCAATAGTTGAGACGGGAGATTAAATGACTGCTAAAGTAAGAACTGTCTAAAGTTGTCAATTCCAGCCTGAGAGCATTAGAAACAGTCGAGCATCGTTTTGGCATCTAATAAACCTTTAAACTCCCAACAGCCTTCTAAGACCGTGAACAGGGACTTGAGTATCTCAGTTATGATTGTGTTTTTCATGGTATTCTGTTTTTGTGCATATAAACTTTTACAAACCTGGATGAACCCTTTTTACGGTTTTGAGAAACTCTCTTATGCAAGCTGGAGTACTCTAGAAGAAAAACCAGGATACTATTGCATGTATACATTTCATCCTGCTTTCTGACTGCTGCAGCCAAGTGATGTGATAGAAACGCAAACTGGTTTGGGACTTCAGTGATGCAGCTCATAACGCAGTCCACCTTAACGCTACAGAACATACATGCAAATTTCTTACCGTGCTTCTGTCAAACACAAACTGGTAATACTGGTTTACAGCCAAGCAGTTTAGTGACAGAACTGGTGCTCGCACTGCTGGTCTCAACTGAGACACACAGCCGGTAAAATAGTTCCATATTCACAGGAAAAAGTTCTCTCCCCGCGGAGTCTCTGAACTCCATCGAGACGACACCGTCCCACCAGTCACAGTTGTGTATCTTCATCCGCTGCTCCCTTGTCCAGCAGTGGCAGCTTGACTCGAGTCAAAGTAGAGGACATGTTTCATACTTTCTGTCGCTCTTGTCTCCCATTGCTTGAAATAAAGTAGCTAAGCCAAATCTGCAAAGTGTTGTTTACATTTAATAGTCTGAAGCCCACCATAAGCCACACTCAAATTAATTTACGGTTCGGTTACCAGTTACAGGAATATGAGATCAAATTGTTGGTTTGTGTTGCAAACATCACAGGTGCCTACACAAGCAACACGGAGTAATCAGTACCTGAGATACTAGTATTTATCATGTGTATACGGATTTCAATATCAGATTTTTGTGTGCTCCATGTCGGCACAATATCCCAAACATGATCACAACTACAGTTGCAGGTTTTTATCTTTTTTAATCCAGTATTGTTTTTGATCTGAGTGTCTGGTTTGGGCAGGACTAATACAGGTAGAGTTCCCCTCAATGGATCAGCAGAGGTGAGAAGTAGCATCTCATTTGTTGTTATCTAAACCATACATCCATTTATTAGGGATGTAGTATGTCTACTTTTCTTTTGTTTTTTTTTTTTTTTTGCAGTTACTTCAGCTCAGCAGGTTTTTATTTACTGCGAGGTCACCTGATTAAGGACAGAGCCGTAGTGATGCTTTAAACATTGTTTTGATATATCTCTCTTTGTCTGTCTTCTTTATGTCTAATATTTATCTTTAATAAATATAACTTTGTCTTATTGTTATCTTTGAGTGTTTTCAAGTACCCAAGAATAGAACACAGTTGGTGAGGCTAAATCTTAACACTGGTGTTTGCTAATGACTTGTCACTGTGTGTCCCCTCCAGCTGAAGACACCTTCCTCTCTGCCATAATCAACTACACCAACAGCTCCACAGTTCACTTCAAGCTCTCGCCCACTTATGTCCTGTACATGGCCTGCCGCTACGTCCTGTCCCCCTCTTACCGGCCCGACATGTCTCCGTCAGAGAGGACGCACAAAGTCATCGCCATCGTCAACAAGATGGTGAGCATGATGGAAGGCGTCATCCAGGTTAGTAACACTACTTTTCAAACTCTCTTTGGAGCATTTTCATATTAAACATAACCTCATTTGATTAATTTGCTCATTATGTCCTGCCGCCGTTAGTGTGGTCACCCTCCACCGTTATGCCGTTTCTGCTTGTGTTCAAATATGATTATTACCTGATGTTTTCCTTAATTCACCTCATTAACTGTATTCTTACAAACTACATTTGTAGATGTTGTAAGGTGCGTGTACATGCGTTTGTATATGTTTGTGCTTTGCAGCTTTTTTCCACAGTTACCTTCTGTGTACCAGTCTGTGCTTTTGTCTTTTGTTCGTGACCTGTCAGTGTTAAATGCTTGTGGTGTGAAGCCTGCTAGTGTATACTGAACTACAGCTAGCATGGAGCTATCGCTGTTCCCGAGGCTTTCATTTATTTTAAAATTGTCAGTGTTTGTGGCAGTAATATGGCAGAGTTTTTAGGCAACAATACCAAAACAATTCTCTCTAGACATTTCTTTGTAGAAATACAAAAGCCTCTATAATTAAATCAGATCAAATGCACCCATGTTTAATGTGGCGTTAACACAAACAACTATAGGAACTCCTAAGTATTAAACATTTGTTCTCTTTTTAGTCAGGAAACCCTGTAAAAAAATTTAAAAATTAAGACAAGACTAAGAATTAGACCAAGCATCTATTATGTTACTATGTTGCTACTGACAAAGTTTTGCTTCATACGAGTCGAGGTTTCATATTGGCCTCGTCTCGCTTAACATAGCGTTGGCTAAAATTGTTTGATTGAAGTCTGATATGATGTACAGAACTGAGATTGAGATTTGAGGGAAATAAAAGCCACACAAACACTAAGTTTTTTCTAAAAGCCTCCAGAAGTAAGGCTCAGTGAAACACATGCCATTTCTTCTTTCTTAGTGCAATTGACTTTTATTTGTTGAGCTTGCAGCCAGCTTTTCGTTGCCTTTGGCATGCAGTGAAGTTATGAAAGAAAACACACACACACACACACACACACACACACACACACACGGTTAACTGTAGTACTCAATCTATTTCAGTCTGTGTGTAGTAGGTTTTTGGCTTTATAGAGCTTCAGGGAAATATCTTTAGCTGCTGAGGAATGTGGGAATGTTTGCGCTAACTTCACACAAGTTGATAAACTTTGTTTTGTCTTGTGTGTGTGTGTGTGTGTGTGGACATTTTCTCTAATTATTGGCAAACAATTACTACATTTAAAACGGGCACTAATCCAAAAGATCAGGATATTTCTGAAGCATTTCTGGGATGCTGAGCACTTGCAAAGCTACATTTTTAATGGATGTCTTTGCCCTGTGTGAACACAAGTGTGTTTTGCACCCTGTTACAATTCATCTTAACTTCACTATTTAACTGACATTTTATTAAGAGAACTACATAAAGATTTTGAAACAGCAATGCACCTTTTTTACATTCAAGTAAAACATCTTGGAGTTATTACCAAGAGTGCAGACAACACATCTACCAGGTTCTTATTGATGGTAGTTTTACAAACAGAGGCCGTATGTTGCACGAGACGATCTCACCTTTGTCAGTTATTCAAGAAGTGATTTGCTGCTGCAATAGATTTCTGACTAACCTGGCATTGTTGTTTGCATTGTGTGCTGAGGGTGCATTTATTTTCATTAATAGACACATTCGAAAGAAATGATTTGTTAGTTTAAAACATTATTCTGTTAAAATATCAACCATATTTGTGTTGCTTATTCTAAGATTTTGAGGGTTATAACTGTCCTTTTTCAGCTTCATTTATATACACAACAGTGTGTACAGGCAGACTTATTTTTAAATCTGAGAACTTGTGAGGTCAGTAGTAGTAAAGTTAATTTAACCTACCTTTAAAATGTCCAAAACCTATATATAAAGACCAGTATTGATATAGAGTTGTAAATATACGAGTCTTCACACAGTCATGGCTACATTAAGATACAGCGTGAAGGTTGTTTCTTGACTGTTCTGATGTGAAGCTTCTGGCATTAAAAGCTTTAAATGAACCTTGATCGGTTTCATAAATATCACGTAATGTTTTCTTTATTAAATGAGTTTCCAGCTGACCTCCATCAGTTCATTTTCTTTAACGTATTCAAGATGGCTTTACATTGTGAACCATGACCATGTGTGTGTCAAAGTGTACGTGTGTGTGCGTTACATGGCTGTGTCCATACTGTAGCTGTTGACGTGTTTTCTCTCTGTCCTGTGAACGTGTCCTCCTCCTCCTCCTCCTCCTCCTCCTCCTCTTCTTCCTTCCATCCAGGAGATTCCTGAAGGGGATCAGGTAGGATAGCACAATAGCACACCATGATACGGCTGCTAAAGACTCGTCTACCTCTCTCTTTCGCTCTCTTTTTTCTCTCTTTATCTTTTGAGGTTGGCGATATTGATAAAATAAGTGGCAAGGAATTTTCCTTTGCTTTTTTGTAAGAGCTGTATAGGTTGTGATTGCTCCAAACCCTACTACAAAATCTTCTTACTACGTCTTCTATGTTTTTCAGAACTATATTTAAAGACTACTTGGTTACAAAGAAAATAATTAGCAAGAAATACAACAAGCCTCAGTAACGTGAGGTGTTTGGTTTTGTGCCACATGAGTGAATCACATAGGTTGCACAGTTTAACTCTCTAAACACCAAGCAGTTTCTGGATGTGTTTTTCTTTTTTGGGTCCTGTCACATTTTTACTCACTGTGGATTTATTTTTCACCACAACATAAAATCCAGCACCTCTGTGAAAAAAGCACAACCATGACCGGAAGTAGAAAGAACTCAAAAGAGAGAGAGTTATAAGGATATAAATCATAAAATTTGGTAAATTCTTTGGTAAGTTTCCCCCCAAAACTTGGAAAAACATGTACAATATTTTATAAACACACTGATATTACCAATATTAGGGAAAGATAGTGGCTCTACATACTATAGGCATTTTAATCCTTATGTTTTTAATTTGTTAAAATACGTCTCCTATCTGATTTTTGGTGTCACAACCTGAAATTTAGCCAAAAAACCCTGTACGTTTGTCATCATGGTTTTGATGAAAAATCACCATTTCAAGCTCTGATAAATGCTGTGGTTTTGGTGACTTTTGACAACATTCCTGTCAATCGTGCCAAAAAGTTTGCATTTCAGAGGGTTAAACAATAACAAAGTTTGCGTAAAGTTCGTATTTTATAGCAAAAGATTTAATGATTTCAAAGTCAGCTGCATATACCATATACAACTCTACTAACTGAAAATTCCAGTGCAACGGTATGTTGTTTAAGGGGAGAGTCCACTAACCTCTTTATTAATGCTTAAATAATAACAAGGTTTTCCATTGATTGCTAAACGTTTGGTTCACCAACTCTCCTCTTCTTTTATATTTACTTTATACTAATATGAGTGTATTTACAGTGATTTAAATAAAACAGCACACATCAAAATTGAACCTTTTCAAAAAGATGACTTTACAAGCAAAGCACATGACTGTTGTGTAACCAAAGGAAAAGTAAGTCTATTTCTTGGCAAAAACCATTAATTTAGAAGATGTTTTATACCATAAATTCTTAGGTTGTAACTATTCTATTGCTTTAAACGTCATGTCCTTTCCGTCTACACTAAGGTAAACCTGACAACATTTACAGACTGATGTAGCATCATGTCGCCCAACCTCAACAAGCTCCCGGCTCTCTTCTATTAATCTCTACCATCTACTTCTCTCTCCCTGTACTTCTCTCTTCTCAGCTCTTTCTGTCTGCTTTTTTGGCCAGCCCTTCATTGTTGCTGCTGCTTCTTTTTCTCCATTCTAACAGAACTGTAAAATACAGCCATAATAATGCGTCCTACCCACAGCTGGAAACTAAGCAACAACAGCAACATCAACCCGACTAATTCCATTCAGCTTCCTGGACCTGCCTGGTACTAAAAAAAAATTACAATAAAAACCAAAAACAGCAAAACCAAAGCAACTCTTCTTCTCCGTTGTTGCTCCATCTTTCATTCTGGCATCCGTTTTGTGTGACATCATGTCTTGCTTCTCCTACTCAACAGTGTGGATGAGAGACAAGTCGCGTCCCTCTGACCTCTTCCACCTCCTCTGCTTCATTTGTCTGTTTGGAATTTCATTTAATATGTTCAACCATCTGTCTGTGTTTTAAATGTTTCCTAAGTGTTTTATTTTGGATGCACTTTTGCTCCATCTCTCATCCTCTGGCTGTTCTGAATGATGGGTTGTTTTGTTTTTTTTTCTTTGTTTTGTTTGATTTACGTTATATTTTTTTCAAGGCGGGGATAGATGAGTGCAGGGGAGCAGCTTTGCACATTCCTCCCTCTCTGAGTGGTGGGGATATTAACCAATCAGCTCCTCAGACACTGAGCTTTGTCGTCCCTGCTGATCTCAAGACCAGCAGATACTGATGATATCTGCCTGTTCACTCATTGTCGTTCACTCTGCAAGCAAACTGGTTCGTCGATGACTTTACTCTGTAAGAGGCTCTGAGTACATCTGTGTACAGCTACAGAGGTGTAAAAGGAACAGCAGGTGCTTTTCATTGGCCCCTTACAGTGTTTAATTGTTTTGATGGTTAGAGGAATAGTTGAGCATACTGGGAAACACACTTTCCAGGTTTATACCATCCTCAGTGTTTTGGATAAGTGAAAAGCCACAGCCTGCATGTTAGCTAAGATAAACTTTGAAACTGGAAACGAGGTCAAACGACTAGATTAACTCTGATCTCAGACTGTAGAAAGTTATGTTTCTATCTAACTATCTGTACAAGTGTTTTAGCAAAACTTTGTATTAATTAATTTACTTAAATGAAATGTCCTGAGAGCTTAATATTGATTGTAACAATGTGATAGTTACAGGCAATTAGAAAACAATTAATCGATTTAATTGACTGTTCTAAACTTTTCAAACATTTTGCTATTTTCTGGTAGAGTTCGTGACTTTCGAAATTGTTATCAGCCTGTGGTATTCTCCACATGACGGTTGTACCAGTGGGCCCCTTTTGCTGATCCTCTTGCTTGCAGTGTGAATAAATTTGGTCCATATACTACTAGACGTCTAAGCACTGTTCACTTTAATCAGAAACAAAAAAGAAATCTGAACCTGTCGGTGAGAAGGCTGGTGTCTGGTGACCAGGTAAATGGGATCTAAGATGGGAACAGGAGAGGTCACTTTGGTGTGAAAATGTTGAATTTTAATGCTCTTGGTAAAATGTTGAAGATGTCAACAAGTGAAGACACCATTTGAGTGTCTTCACTGATCTGACAGCGATGACCGCTCTTCTTCTCGACACTGGGTTGGTTTAGAGGGAGGGGTGGGCAGGGCATGAGTCTATCCCTGAAGTAACAACTGCTCCTTCTGGCTGCCACTCAAACAGAAACCCCTCTGTCTTCTACCTTCTTTTTTACCTCTTCAGTCTCTCCTGCATTCTGCTGCTCTAACAACTTCCTTCCTATGTTTTTTTTTTTTTCTTTCCCTGTGTGTGGCTGTGATTGGACCATTACAGAAGCAGAAGAACATTGCCGGAGCGCTGGCTTTCTGGATGGCCAACGCCTCCGAGCTGCTCAACTTCATCAAGCAGGACCGAGACTTGAGTCGGGTCACGCTGGACGCCCAGGACATCCTCGCTCATCTGGTCCAAATGGCCTTCAAGTCAGTTTGTGTGTGGTTGTGTTGGTGTGAGGAGGGCTGTGTTTCAATGTAATATAATACAACTCAGTTAGTTTCACACTGTGGTACTGTGGTTTTTAGGGAAAAAGTTAGTTTCTTCATCAACAGTAAATCACATTGTCAATCTAAATGTATAACATGATTTAAGGACAGTGGGTGTCTACAAACATATCCTGTTGCACACGAGACCAGCTTGGTTAAATTAGCTAAGCAGCTACAGGAACACTGTCTCTGTAAGTTAGGGCTTTAAAACAGAAACCTTTAACTTCTACAGACGTCTCTGTCATGGTGGTTTTACTGCTGGTTAAACCCTCACAGTGCTCTCAACCACACAAACAGTGAAAAGCACATCACTGCCCACATTCAAACACAACAAAGATGAAGTAGCAATCACAACACAGTATTAAACACAGCATACGAGCTGCAGTCAATATATATATTAATTGGGTAAATTATTAATGGCATTTAATCGGTTGATGAGTTATCGAAGCCACTGATGGCCAGTTCAGATATGACAGTGGCAAAAAACAAAATGGAATTGAATCCCACAATGTCACTGCTGCAACAACCAGTGTTTCAACCAATATGTCCTCTTTCTTTTCTCTTTTTGCGTAGAAGCACCAGGTTGTGTCCAAAGTCTGGTTGTTGTTTTGCTTTACACTATGCAGATGGCGCAGATGGAATAGACAGACAGTACAAACTGATGTTGTACAGTGATATATCAAACCATGTACCATATTACAAACCTTTTAATACATACTGTTGGCAACCGAGCCTTCATTAGTTATGAAACATCATTATCTATAGGTGCTGTAAAATTGATTGCCAACATCCTTTTATTACACTATTTTTAACCGTCACAAGTAGTTAGTCTGATTACAGTAGAACCCCAATTGGTCACCACTTTAAGACAATGTTCAGGTTTTGTAATTAAAGGATTGTATCAGGTCAGATGGTACCTTAACAAGCTGTGATGTGTGAATGCAGGTACCTGGTCCACTGTCTCCAGGCTGATCTAAACAACTACATGCCTGCCTTCTTGGATGACCCTGAGGAACATAATCCACAGAGACCCAAAATCGGTAATGAGTGAAAACACTGTCCACTCGCAGCTCATTGTCAGAGGTTGTACACAGTTGAGAGTTGTGAGCAGTACATTTTGTATAGGACGTATTGTATATTTTGTAGAGGCCTTAGGGGATAAAATATCCACTCTCTGAAAAGGGGAGAACACTGTATATTAATGATTTACACAGAAGTTCTGATTCCTGTCATGCAAACAGCAAAACCACAAACTTCACGACACTTGTGGACAGAGGGAGAAAGAGCTGCTCTCACTCTTGTTTCTGTTTCCAGAGGATGTCCTGCACACACTCACAGGGGCCATGTCGTTACTGCGGCGGTGTCGAGTCAACGCCGCCCTGACAATCCAGCTCTTCTCACAGCTCTTCCATTTCATCAACATGTGGCTTTTCAACAAGCTGGTGACGGACACCGAGTCGGGTCTGTGTTGTCACTACTGGGGGGCCATCCTCCGGCAGCAGCTCAGCCACATCGAGGCCTGGGCTGAGAAACAGGGTCTGGAGCTCGCCGCCGACTGCCACCTTAGTCGAATAGTACAGGTATGAGGATCAAGGACGGGAAAGAAGCGTGTGAAGTGGCACAAACAGATTGTCGCTTAGCTTTTTAGGTTTATTTACCACTGTTGCATCAGCCACACTGGGAGGGCTGTGGGTTTTATTTTATCCACCAGTGTTTTCATTTGTTTACAGCTTTGTTTTTTGTGCAGATGTCTTTGGGGATTCTCTTGCTAGTGCTTTCACATTATTTTAAGAATCCTTGATCCCAATCTGGTTTCGCCACTATATACTTGTTCTTTAAAAAGTTTTTAAAAAATGCAAGATTATGTTTAAATAATTAACTTGTAAAGGGCAAAAATTCCACAGGGATTGTGACTGAAGTTAAATACATAAAGATGGTGGTAAAAACAGTTTAAAAACAGGCCATCCCATCTACCAGATGTACATTTTTTTTCATAACCATGTATTGTAAATGCATACGGAAATGATTTGCACCATACAACATTCAACATTTTTAGCATACATTGAAGAAATAAGAGAGCTGTAAACAAAAGACCTTTTAAATATGTACAAAAACGTCAACAAGATATGTGGTTCAAAGTAATATATTGTTTTTGTGTGTCCTCCAGGCCACCACCCTGCTGACCATGGACAAATACTCCATGCAGGATGTGCAGAACATCCATAACACCTGCTTTAAGCTCAACTCCCTGCAGCTCCACGCCCTCATGTCCAACTATCACTGTGCCCCAGATGAGCCGTACATCCCACCTGTAAGACAAACAGACAGCCGCATAATGGAAAACTTTATGCATCACTGTTTTTAAACTGTTTAGAAAAGTAAAATGTACATAGTTTGAGGTTTTCTGTCAGATCACATCAGCTTTATGTAAAGTAATTCAAACTGATGTGCACAAATATTAGATATAAGCGTAACTTGTGACATTTTCTGAACCTATGTTGTACAATATGCCTGTGGGCCCTTTTCGGTCATCTGATATGTTTGCTGTGCTTGGTGTGTGTGCGTGCAGGAACTGATAGACCACGTGGTGGCAGTGGCAGAAAACACAGCAGATGAGCTGGCGAGGAGTGATGGCAGAGAGGTTCAGCTGGAGGAGGATCCAGACCTTCAGCTGCCCTTCCTCCTTCCTGAGGACGGCTACTCCTGTGACGTGGTGCGCAGCCTCCCCAATGGACTGCAGGACTTCCTGGAGCCTCTGCTGCAGAGAGGTTAGTTATTGAAGAATTGAAGTTACTATTACTTTTTTGCATATTTATAACTGTGTTCTTTGCTGAGATTTCTTTAATTTCAAATCAGTTTATTGTCATTACTCTTTATTTTGATAACAGATAATTTATTGAAATACCAAACATTAATTAATTTCAGCTTCTTATGTGTGAGAAATACCTGCCATTCTGTGTTTTACACAACTGCAAATGAGCTTGTCTAATTTTACAGCTCTCAAAACAAGCAATTTGAGGGCTTGATATTAAATGACTGATTGGTATGAGAAGATGAAAAATAAACATCAATCAACAGCCCCGTTGCTTTTACCATGCTCTCATTATTCACAAAAATACTGCTACATTTTTGAAATAGTTCAGACATGTCAAGATGTGAACAAGTGTCATTGTGTGTATTTCAGGGGAGGAGAGAGGTGCTATGAAGCTCACACTCCTCTATAGTTATATTGTGGACCTGCTCTAAAGCACAAAATGTGACAAATGCACTGTAAATGACGCTGTTTGTGTCTCCTCTGACAGGTTTTTGTAGGTTAGCGCCACATCCACGGTCACCTGGTACCTGGACCGTCCACTTTGAAGGAGCTGACTGTGACAGCCACTTCTCTGCAGCTGACAACTCTGAGATGGTAGGACGTTAACACACAAGAAAGCCCCTCTCATTGTGTGTGTATGAAGTTATGTGTCAAGGCAGTGGGGCATTCTGGGTAAAGTTGGTTCCACAGAGGACCTTGCAGGTTTAATGATGCTGACTCAAAGAAGCTGCATAGACTGAAGCATACAGGAGCTCTGACAGCTAAGCAAGCAGTAAACAAGACAAGTTCTTGGAGCCACAAAGTGGCAACAGAGTCTTTGATTGCTGCAGAATAACTTTGCTTTGCTCTTCCAACATTCATTTCTTTATTTTGCACTGAAATGAATTTGCCTTCTAGCTGCGAGGCGACGGTGCTAACCACTGAGCCTCCCTGCAGCCCCCTGAAACACTAACCAAACAAATTTTCAGCTTTACAGTAAATTCACAAGGTGTGCTATTGTAGCTGTAAACATACTAACCTAACTGTACTGATCTTCTAAATCTGAAACTGTCTACATCTACAACTGTTCCAGATGTCCCCCAAACAAAATATTTGACATAGCACAGCACAAAGTTTTTTTTGTTTTTTTTAAATATTAACAATTTAATTCAAAATGCTGACGTTCCCAGCCATGCTTTGGTCACATGTTTCAACAAATACATTACGTTGACCATTTTAGCTCAGTGTTTCTAACAAGCTGAAGGACTTAGTTGTAGTGGTTGGTGGTGTAGCGTGATTAATATGCATGCAAAGACCAGGGCCAAAGTAGAACCCAGCCTTTTTTTTTTTTTTTTTTTTTCCTAAAGCTAAGAAGTACAGATGTTCCCTAAATGCCACACCTGCATCAGTACATGCTACAGGGCAACTGTGCACTGAGACGCCTGTAGTCTCCCCCTGCAGTTAATGCAGCAGCTCAGACAGGAGTGTAACCAAAAAAATATGTTGAAAAAGTGAAATAAGGCATTTAATGTCAGATTACTTTGAGACCAAGTGATTTTATCTACTTGGATAGTCTACATAGAGACACGCACAGATTGCTAAATGTCAGTGGTTCAGGTTATTTAGCAGTATGTTTTTTTTTTTTTCGTGAACTTCCATTTTACGTTTAGGCAAACAGAATATTCTATATGTTATCTTCTGTACAATATGGGACAAACAGATGCTTTTTTGACATAAGTGTAAATGTACGTAACCATACAAAGTCACATAAACAAGTTGTTTTGTCCATAGCTCAAATTACAAAAATATAAACAGTGTCAATGAGAATTCTAAGCTTGTTGTCACAATATGAAAACTAAATACTGGTGTCAGTTTTCTTTGCAGTAAAATCCAAAAATTCTTTTAAAATAGTTCTAAGTTATAAGTCGTAGAATAGAAGAATAGTATGACTGCCATCAGCTGAGGTTGCTGTAGTTGACCTTTTCTAACTCTGCTCATCTTTCTGCTTCACTGGACAAATCAGTTTCAGAATTATACTGGATTTGGAGGATTTAGGAAAGTTAGTACACGAGGTCTGGTTGTTGAGACCCAACAGCATGACAACATGGATCAGCTTCCAGGTGAATTTCAGACTAAAAAAGGTAAAATTCCAACAGAAACTGAGCTGTAGACAATTTGACGGCATGACTGACATAGTTTGACTATTTTTAGAGTGGTTTAAACCTGGAAGTTTCTTTGATTTGGGTCCAGAGGTTTTAGTGTGTGTGTGTGTGTGTGTGTTTGTGTGTGTTAGTGTGTGTGTGTGGTCTCCCAGTTGGAAGGCAGTGATTACAGTGACTTCAGAAGGAGCTATTTACTTCTCATAACAACCATCACAGACACACACAAACACACATGCGCACACACAATTTAATCAACACCAATCACAGTGCAGAAGTTAGTTAGTGAGCCTGGAGCAGTAAATGATAGACTTCTTTTTAATCACACACGTGCGCATTTGCACACACACACACGCACGCGCGCGCACACACACACACACACACACACACACACACACACACACACACACAGCGAGCCACTTCCTCTGTAATTGGTCTGTTTATCCCTGCTCTACTATTTCATGACTCTAGACTCGACATAATGCAGGCGTCGCTCACAAACACACACAAGCACACACACACTTTGATTAATGGTGTGTGTTCAGGCCGACTGGAGGCTTGAGGCCCGGCTCGTCTGGAGCTCTTATGCCATCATCACAAGTACAGTTCTGCTCTACATCCACTTCAACACAGTGGATATGATGTAGTGTGTTTATATATTGTAGATGGGATAAATCCTACAAGCAGGTCTTTAGAGCTTCTAGCACTATCAGCAGTATCTTCAATATTTATTTTATTTTTTTCAAAAGAAAAGTTGGCTTCTTGCTCAGCAGCACCCAGTGCTTGTAGGATGGTATTTACAAGCAAAACAACAACAAATGTTGACACTAACCTGCTCTAAATGGCTTAGGTCGTGTGCATTTTCTTCTTACTGCTCCTTGTAGCTGCTACAAGAGAGGGATCCTGTCAGTATTATTTATGCTGAAGACCATTTCTCAAACAAGCAGCTCAGTGTGAAAATGCTAGATTTGTGTGGACAGACGGAAAAAAAAAACAGGGTGTATTGGTGCAGAAGGTTAGCATGAAAGTGTTTGTGTGTGTTTATCAGCATGCAGTGCAACCTCCTTTAGCTTGTGTCGGTCCACACACTTAAATTTTGCGGGTAGTTAAGTGCCCATTTTGAATATTTTAACAGGTGACTGCTTTTTTTTGTTGGTTGCTTTAATAATTAATAATGATTCTTTAATAAACCCATTTCGGTTTCCCTATCTGCTATAAAGGTTATAACTTATTGATAGAGTGAATAAGATGTTTGTTTTGGGGCCTATTAGTGGTTTATATATTTTATTTATTTATTTTCAAGTTCTTTTAAGCCTTAGATGCCAGATTCCGATTTGTCTGTGCTTCCTGCACTGTAGGGATGCTAACTGACTATGATATAGGAGTCTGCCTACTGTCGGACTGGCAGATTATTGGGTCACATGTTTAGCATTTTACCAATTATTTTTATTTATTTATTTAAAAAAAAAAAGTCTTCTCTTTTACCATTCCTGCTTGTGGTGTTTGTAAGTGCCCTGTTGGCATTAAAAGGCCTAACAACTGCCCATATCTTGATGTACAGCTTCTTTTATGCAACAGAAGGTTAGAAGTTGCTGAAAACTATACTGCTTTATGACAAAAGCCTGACATTAGTTGGTCCACTGAAAGTCAAACCCCTGCTTTTCTAAGATGTGAGTGCTCGTTAGTGACTGTCTTTACACAACAAGCTAAAAGTGTTGAACTTTGACATCCAACCTTGTCCTGACATAATTAACATTGCAGCTTCGCTCTCTCTATGGTGTGGCGGTGTAGCTGCAATTTTACTGTAACAGTAGTTGTATTGACATTGATGTGCGGTTGTTGTTTTGTTTAGTTCTGGGTGTTCCTGCAGATTGCTGAATAATGTCTAAGCTCCCTGCGCTTTTACGCAAGTGGCTGTTCAGCCACAAACAGCAACACAGAGATGCCAACAAACATAAATAGACGATACGACGCAGACATACTTTTGTATAAGTCTGTCATGAGCTTATTTATTTTGGAGTATCCTTTGTCAGAATATTTTTTCATGATGTGGGAAACCTTGGTAGCTCTCTCTCTTTCTTTGTTTCTCTGTCTCTCCCCACCCAGTCACCCAGCCCTGCTCAAATGAGCCCTAGTGTGTATATATGTATGTGTGTGTATATGTGTGTGTGTGTGTGTGTGGGTAGCCATGATGTGGTTTTCATTCTTGACTTGATTCCAGCAACCACAGGTTCCTCTGTGGTCTCCCCCTTTCCCCTTTATCCCTCCTTTATTCCCTCCCTTTTCTCATCCGTCCCTCTTTTTTACTCCACAGTCTCATTTTCCTGCATGTTTCAGAGGCAAACGGAGAGAACACGTTTCGCTGAGTTCTCCTAAGGCTGTAAGACACTCATTTAAGAGGTATCATCCTCATTTACAGTTTGTCCTTCCTGTCCATCTCTCCTTTCAGCCAATGAGGAAAGAGCCGGAGGTTGTCACGGTAACCCTGAAGAAGCACAACGGCATGGGCCTCAGCATCGTGGCTGCCAAGGTAGGAAATGCCACCTGGAATAGTGTTTATATGCGTCTGTCCATGTGTGTTAAGAGTTAAATCCAAACTGTTGCAAGTCTGTGGTGTGAGTTTTTCATGATTATTTTTTAGTTTTCTAAGAAAACTTCTCCTGCAATGTAGAAGGCACGTCCTTTTCAAACTAAATCTAAAACTGAAAAGTGAAAAATTGGTATGGATTTGACAGGAAATCCCCCCAATATTTTTTTTTATTGTCCTGGCTGTACAGATGGAGAGCGTTGGATCTGTGCTGGAGTGTGTGTTTGTGTGTGGGTTAATGTGTGTCTGTGTGTTAGGCTGAGCGACACAGTGCTGACAGAATAGGCTGCTGTTTTAAATAGACTGCTTTCACTGTTGAGTCTGACAGCAGTGTAGAGACTAAACAGTGACACTGCAAAGAAACGTCTGGATGAGTCTGGACAAAAACGTGCTCTGTTTAGTTTGCATTGTAAACTAAATGAGGGAGTGGGCATGTGGTAGGGGGATAATTTGACCGTCCACGTGTTTATTTGTTCACACACCTCTGATTTCTTGACAAAACCATTGGAAGTTGTGCATCTCTCCGCTGGGTTCCAGTTTTAAAGTGTACAGATTCATCAAAACGGCAGCTATGGAAGGTTAGCTGTGAATTTGGCAAACATACTCAGTTGTTTTTGCTGTAAAAGGAATTGTGTTTTCTACCAGATTGGATTAATTAAATGGCCTAATAGAATATATATAGATATGTCCATTAGATTAGGATGGATGCCATTGGATGCCATTGGTCTGAGATCCCTGCCCAGTATACATGTAGTGAACAGGGTCATTTGAAATATCCAAGGTGAGCTCAAGAAGGTCCAAGACGCTGCCTATAAAAAGCAAAAAACTGTATCTGATTTAAGTTTGGCTGAAATCCTCTGAAGTAGTCTCTATGTGCAGAGCTACACTGCTCACAGTGCTCCTGCCATGTTTGGAACATGCTCTGGAAGTCCCGTTCTGACCACTTGCAGGTGCACATTTGGGATTCCCTCATTGACTTCAAACTTATGCAACGAGCAAACACCAAATATAGATATACATGCACCTCAGCCTGCACCTCTATCTTTTTGTAGATGCAGTCTTAAAATTTCTTGATTGTACCTCAAACGCAATTCTGTTATTTTTTTAGTCTCATGTTTGTGTAGTAAAATATCAAGTAAAAAACAAAAACAAAAAAAGGCCATAATATTGTAAAGTTAGGGCCCACAGATTCAGCTCTAGCTTTGACAAATTATTACTTTGAATAACGCTCACAAAATATATTTAGTCAATTCTCACAACAGTCAAGGACAAACGGCACCTCATGGCTGAGAAGATGAAACCAGTGAATGTTTGTTTGGCATTATTGCCTCAAAAATACTCAGTATTTCGCGTTCTTTCAGCTATGCATATTTAAGATACGTAGCATAAAACAAAATACCTCAAACATATGATGAACGTCTGTAAGATTAACACAAAAACCTACAACACAACATAAGTTCAGAAAAAAACAATGGACCCTAAGTGACAATATGAACATAAAACCTGGTATATTAAGCAATCATCACCTAAACCAACCGTCAGTGGTTAAAACAGCACGTCCATCATCACCCTCCAATTTCATAGTTTAGTCTGATCATCTGTTGACTCATCCCAAGTGTTTGATAATGAAAGTTGTCATGACACCGCATCTTTCCAAACATTCATAGGAAATGTGCAGACCACCCAGTATGCTGTTTGTATCTCTCGTGGTTTAAATATTTTGGGAGAATTTTAGTCTTCTGTGCTGGAAATAAAGGCAGACCATGTACACGCTATGCACCTCAGAGCCACCACAAAGTCCCATATTGCTTAGATTTTAATTTCAAATGGCAAAGACAAATCCAACTCAGTTGGGTGTCCACTTTGACTAACAAATTTCCTTTGGGGGGAACCCCGCGCTTTCAGGCCAGACAGTTACGTAATTCTGTGTTAAGGTCTTTCCATCAACAAAATTTCCCCCTTAAGTGCATTCCTCACAGGACTGTATCTTATCTTATGAAGGACGATGATGTAAAACCTGTTACCTCCACATCACTGATGCACAACACTTCTCATCTTTATTAATGAAAGGGTGGATTTAAGGAATACTAGCATTTGCTCCCTGTAAAACATTAAGATACTTTCTGTCTTTCTTTGAGTAGAGTGGGTTTCCTGCTGAAGGCAAGAGCTTTCCTGTGTGGTTTTGTGCATGTGTGTTCAGTCTGTGTGCGGAGAGGAAGAGCGGGAAGGAAGGACGTACTGAGGAAACCTCCTTGCTCTGTTTATTTTCAAAGCCGTGTGGATGTATGAGAAGGTGGCAGAGGAGTGTGTGTGTGTGGCATGGGAAAGGCAGGTAGAGTGAATTTTTGTCAAACAGCTGCTTGAATTCTCGGTAAACTGGGCTGAGCGCGGTGCTGTTATATAACTGTGTGTGTGAGTGAGTGAGTGTGTGTGTGTGTGTGTGTGTGTGGTATTTGCCTGGTGGAGCTGCAGCAGCGCTCCACCTCAGTCTGACCAGCCGGCGTCCCAGCCGACACTTCACCTCTGGATCGCTGCCTGAATTTTCTGTTTCTTAGCAAACACTCTGCAATTAGGAACTTGTGGAGGAATTTTTGCTGCCCTTGGGAACATCCAAGGAATTTACTGCAGCTTTTTAACCACATACACTGGACTTTACAAAACTTTTTTTTTTAACTGTTTTTTTTTTTTTTTTGGCTAACTCTTTAAAATGACCCACGGCGAATTTCCAGCACTTTCTTGCTGCACATGTTGGAATTCTCAGTGCTTTTTTTATCCCACGTTTCCATCCATAAATAGTTATTTTAAACGTTGCTGAATGGATTACTGCCAGCCGGTGTAACTGGGAAGTTTTTGGACTTGTCGGTTCATGTTAGCAGAGTGAAGCGCTCCCTGAGTTAAAAGCAGGTGTGCACGTGTGTGTGTCCTCCAGTCTGGCCGTCCCAGCGTGAACTGGTCTGGACAACGCTAACAAGCAGCTGCAACATGTGGTTTTCTGTGGTGGGCAGGAGAGACCAGGTAACAGGACTTTCAAGAGAAAATCTTATTATAGCACGTTTCCCTATTGGTTCTGCAAATTCCTCTTCTCTTTGATGTTATTTTTGAATGTGTTAAATATAGAAACTGAATGGTGTGTGTGCACATATAAGCCAGGTCAAGGGTGTGTGTAGTTAATGTGCTCATTTCTTCATTGACCAGATTCTTTTTAGTATTTTTAATGTTGTGATTCTGTCACAATTCAGGCATTGCGTCTGCTCAAATGCTGACTTTACTCAGAAGCATTTGCCGGTGAAGTAGGTAGCAGCCGGTTGAGTGTTTATGGATTTACCTTGTCCAGTGTGATGGCCGTCAGGTTTGTCACTTTTGACTGTTTGCTTTCAGGGCCGTTCTGCCAATGGTTAAACTAAGGTTAGGTAATGTGCTCAGTGGGATTATGATACTTCACAACATGTGGGTGATTTTGTTGTTCCTCCCTGGGGTGGTTTTGTTTTTAATGTACTGTTGGTTAATATTATATTGGTTGTATATTTGAATCCTTTAGCCTGAATTAAATCTAGTAAGACGCTTGAGTCAGGTTCTGCAGAAATGTGCATAAATTCACGTTATTTTGTAGTTGTTGTTCTACATATTCTAAGCTAGTAGAGAAGCTTTCTTATTTTCTAATTGTGAATAGTTTTTTTAAAATGCCTGACTTTTGTTTTTGACTTTCTTTGTCCTGGCAGTAATCATGCTTTAACAAAAAAAATAAATAAATATTGACATAAACTTCAGTTTAAAAGCAGCAGCATCGGTCTACATTAGTAAAATCAAGTTTGTCAGAGCAGCTTTTGCGTGGATTGAGCCGTAGCTTCATATTAAACATGACTAACTGTCAGCCTTCAGAAGTTACATTCCTATTGCTGAAGACCTTTGTTTCCAGAGAACAAATGAGTGGAGCAACAGCTCTGTATCCTTAAAAATACTATATCGGTCAAACCCACATGTGTGTTTCATGGTGTTGTGTTGGCTTTCCTTCGGACAGCTCCCAGCTGGAGTTGAGGAAGCTCTCTGCCTTCTCCTCCTCCTCCTCCCTTGTTAGTGTGTTTACTCTCGTATCAGTTGCTGTAAAGAACAGAACATTCCCTCTGTACAGATTTAAAACCACTCAGTTAGGTTTGCAGTGTGTTGCAATCTAGGATAGGATAGAGAGGTGACAGTGCTTCAGGCTACAGAGCGTTTCATACCAGACTCCATTCAAAAATCTGGTTGTTTTCGCTGTTTTGGTTACATGACAAATGACTTCACCTGATCGCGATGCACTTAGCAGAGATATGGTGTGTACAGTGTATTTAAGCTGTGGTTACATAGTAAAATGACTGTAACAGCTTTTTCTTTTAAAAAATAAAACATGGCAGTTATTGTATTTTAATATAAGTCAGTTTTGTTCTTTTTTTATTTAAATGAAGTTCTTGGTAGATGACTTATTGTTCAGTACATCCAGCTGATTTCTAAAAAGCTTGAATTAATGTTCTTTCTGTGTGTACACTTGCAGAAAGGTAATGGAGGTTTAAATTGCTGAAAGTTTGGTGTGATACATGCAGTCATGAAGTGAAAGGACCCGAACTACCTGGTTTGTGAAAGTTCTCTTCCTGTGTAAAGGAAATGCATTCCAAACTCAAAATGCAGCATTTGGCCTGTTTGTTACCCCCAGTGTGTTTGAAGTATTGCTTGTGTGTTTGTGTTTGTTTGTTAGCTGATAGAATCGTACTAGAAGTGGAACAATAGCATGAGAGCATTCCCCCCTGTGAGGGCTGGAACAATGAGAGGATGTACCGCACACACACATGCGTTTTGCTTTCCTGTAAAGCTGCAGGCAGGAGGTGTTTACGAGGTGCGTAGAGGAGAACGTTTGTCCATCTTGGCACTCGTTATAAAGTCTGTGGTAGATTCACATTTTGGCAGGTTTG